AAAGAAAATATTAATAATATTATAAATATCCAATGAAAGGAATATCAACTGTTGACCATGTACCGCGGCTTTTCCAACGCCATATGAAACACTGAATAGATGGCGTACGGATCCAATGGACGAAATAAAAATGATCAGCCCGGATTTCCTTTGCGTCATCATTCTGGCAGCGTAAACCATGCATATGTAATGGTTTCGGAGGCCGACTTGGTTCACTTTGTCCCAGATATCCGGTTCGACCTCCCAAAAGTTTTTGCCAGCGCATTCTACCAAAATCTAAATTTAAAACAAACGATTAGCAACCAAGCAAAATAAACAAACTATGACTACCTTCACTGCCGAGAACGCATTGTTCACCAAAATGTCCAATTTTCCGTTTTGTTCGGCTTGAATTCTTTTAAAAAGATCCCTGATATTGTCGTCTAACGAATGGTCACAGTATACAGGAATGCATTGTCCACCGCGCGCGGTGACCTATTACAAATGCAATCGGTACATAATACTTAATATAGCACATAAACTGAGGACAGTCAGACACAAACACACTGAAAAGACCAATTGCGATGCCAACGTGAAAAACAAAACACTATACGGATAAACTAAAGATTATATACTAGGTTCGCTACCTCAAACCATAGATCAACATAATGTGCAGCGCAAGAATGACAGAAGGGAAAAGAAAACTCAAATTTTGCTCTCTGAATTACTCTTTCATGACCCGTCCTGCTATCCATAATTAATGCAATGAAATGTGATGACAAAAGTGATGACGTTGAACTTAGTGTTTGACATGAATCGCAGTTTAGGTGCAAATCTTCGCGCTTAAGACGAACTCTTTCTGCATGAAGGACAAAGGAAGCCGCAGGATTCCAATGCCTTTCTTCCGTAAAATTCGAGTTTAAGGCGTAGAAAGGCGAACGAGAGAATGATAATCAGCGTTTGTGATGAACAATTTCTGCACTGAACGAAAATTGCGCAAGTCGCCTGGAATCCGACAGTGATTCAGCGATTGATAAAGCAGAATTCAGGTATGTGCAGCACCTGCAGTTTGCATAGAAGAAAGGAAAGAAGCAAAGAAAGAAGAGATAAAGACAAAAAGCGAATGAAAATGAAAAAAAGAACCAAAGAGAGAATAGGGGAAAGAAACGCAAGAAGAAGAAATGATCAGAGAAAGAAGAACAAGAGAAAAAGAACAAAATGCAAAAGAATGATAAAAACAAGAAAGAAAGCAAAATGGAAGAAAATAAGATGAAATCAAAAAATAAATTAATAAAAAACAAAAATATGAGCAAGAGAAACGAACTGAAAGACAATGAAGCAGAACAAGAGGAAGACAACGAAGTTGACGGCGATGAACACGAATAAACAGAAAAAAGGAAGAAGAATGAGTATAGAAAAAGGTCGAAAAGAAAGAACGCGACGATGAGCGAAGAAAATCACAGGGAAATTAAATAAATAATTAGAACAAGAGGAATGCTGAAGACAGGAGTATCATTCATTAGTAGCAGGCCTTGAAATCTATATCCAAAGTGAGGCGCGAATTTTCTCTTAGTAACTACTAACGATGTTGAGCTAGAAATCCACGTACCTACGATTCAACGTGACTAGCCACAAAAATAGCAGGTTCTTCATCTGCGAACATTCGAACAGCATTTCGGCGTTTTGGTGTGGTCATGTCAGAGTGTGACTGACATGCGGGCGTACTGTCTGATACGAACGCATTACGGCTACGATTTATCTTGAAACCCCTGAACGTGCTGTATAATTACAACATTGTTTGACTCTCTCAAATGAGTGTTGAATTAATTAATAAAAGTTTAACCTGTAAAACAAAAAAAAATAAAAAGAAAACGAAGTTAAGAGCGGTGCTTAAAGGTGCACATTTCCAGGTGGAAAAATCAACGTGATTAAATGAATACGCGCGCTAACTTCTTTGGCAGTATCTTCCAGGGTGTGCAGATCCTTGGAGTTTTCTCTATTGTCGGACTTTTCCGGAGGTCTTCCTAAAATAGCCTCCTATTGATAATAACGTAAAAATTTTTTGATTATTTCTTTAGAATTGCACAAAATAGAAAAATATTATTATAAATTGTTACCGATTAAAGTGGGAATACGTTCAATAACTAGAAGAACGTAAATATTTGTGCATTACATAAGTTTATGAGACTTAGAGACTATGTCTTAGAAAATTAAGACAAAGGGGAGAAATAACACGAAGTAAAATCAGGCTTTATTGGAGTTATGCATTAAATCAAGAGGTACCACGTGACCTGTCCGAGTTTACGAACACTGTCCGTAAAAGGAATCGAAAATAAAATCACAACTGCTGGCAAATTGCTACGGCGACGGCCTGAACTCCACCAC